GGACATAGAAGCATCAACAAACACACCAAAGTCTTTCTCATAATCAGCTACCTTTATATCAGTGGAACCCATAAAATATCTGTACTTTATATTTCTGCTCCCTGCATGGATTACCTTACATTTATCTACATTAAATTTTATCTGCCAGATATCAGCCCAGTCGCTAATTAAATCAAGATCCCGTTGTAGCCTCTGTGCTGCTAGTTCAGTGTCTGCTACACCACCCACCTTGGTGTCGTCTACAAATTTACTGTATGTATTGATGTCAATATCATTAATGTAAATTAGGAACAATAGTGGTCCTAAAATTGAGCCCTGCGGTACCCCACTATGAACGCAGGCCCACTGCAACATTGTGCCTCTAATAACTACCTGCTGCTTCCTGTCTGTTAACCAGTTTTTTATTCAAGCTGCTACAGTTCCTAAAATCCCTGCAGCTTTGAGCTTTAGCAAGAGCCGTTTGTGGGGGACAACATCAAAGGCCTTCTGGAAATCTAAGATCACATCGTAGGCTTTTTGTGATCAATTTCTCTTCTAGCTTTCTCAAAGAACTCCAGTAGATTAGTTAAACAAGATCTACCTCTCCTAAATCCATGTTGGCTATCCCTCATAATGTTATTTGAATCCAGGTAATCTACCATTTTCACTTGGATTATAGCTTGCATTACTTTTCCAGTCATGCAAGTTAAACTGATTGGCCTATAGTCTGCTTGATTACTTCTATCCTCTTTTTTGAATAAGGGTGTTATATTAGAATGCTTCCAATCAGAAGGTTCCACATCAGCAGATAGGGATTTCTGAAACAGTAAAGTTAAAGGTTAGTTAATAATGTCCCTCATCTATTTTAAAACTATAGGTAAGATGCCATCAGGGCCATCACTCTACATGTTATTCGTTTTTGAGTGATTGATAATAAAAAATCTGAACACACTTCAAAGAAACTCTACCCCAATAGCATTTGGTCCCTAAGTGTGTATGATGCAGGTTGTTTTCTGGACCACATACCATTCAAGAAAGGTAAATGAGCTCTCCTGTGTAATGCATTTTAGCTTTGAAATCACCGCAGTTGCTAATTCCAGGATATCTGTTAAATCCGCCATCAACTGAGGCATTTAGAATATGTGTATTTTCTTTGTGTTATTGTACTAATAAACGGTGGTCAGGATTGTCACAGTTCAAGTACTGATGAAAACTGGGAATTATGAGTAATTATGAATTATGAGGATTTATGACGTCTGACATATTCATGGAGTGCATTGTATCCTGATGGAATGGATTGTCTTATCCTCAGTCATTGTCATTGGAATTATTCCTAGGTGTATAAGGTTGTAAGTATTGAGAGTCTTGTTCGAAGAGGGCAATTTAGTCAGCTGTGCATGTACATATTTCTTGCAGCTGTTCCACGAGGATGGAGAGTGCTGGGTTTATGACGAACCTCTGCTGAAAAGATTAGCCACGAAAGGAACAAAGTGAGACACGGTGAGGCAACGGATGCAAAAAGACAGTCTTAAAGAACTATATCAACCATTTCTCATCCAAGCCTCCCAAGGACTGATGACCAAAGTCATTCTCAGCACTGCATTTCCAGCATTTATTAAGAAAAAAATGTGGTCCTTTTCAACAACCTCACGTCCACCAATCGCAAACTGTCGATGCTCCTGTCAAGACCAAATCATGTGCGATGTGGAAGTCCGCAACACAACCAAGCACTCATCAGTCGCGCTGGAAGTTCCCTCAAGGGTCTCCATCTGCTCAAAGTGGGGCAGTGGGGATAATTGGATCAAAAACAACCCTTGAAAACAACAGCATTCTGTAACTCAGGGAAACTGGTGACAAAGATGATGGCTGCATCTCCAGAAGTTCAAAGGCCTTATAGATGACATCATAGGGGAAGATGGGTTGGCTTGTCTAATACCGTATGTGTACATTTTTCCCACCTTACTGGCATTGAGGACTTGATAACTGTTTTAGGACACGAGTTTACTGATGACAAATCATAAATTAAGCCCTTTCCTTCTCCTCACACTGGAAATTACAACATATAATCAGTTTCCATCTGCATTTATTGCCGTTATCTTTTCATGCACACACACACACACACACACACACATACATACATATGTATATATATATATATGTGTGTGTGTGTATATAGATTACATAAATATAACGGAGGAATAAGGAAGGCTATAGTGTCAGTTGTGCAAACACTTACAAGCTGCAGTCACTAATATTATAGTTTTCTAAAATTTTTGTTTTTCCCCCAATGGAGAGGTTGGCTTTTTAGAATGTTGTTGCAGTATCCGACTAATTATATACTTTGGTATCAGAGCCTTGTTGTGTAAATAGTGCCCAACAAGTGAAGCTGCACAAAAGCACCACAGCCATAGACAATGCTAATCCTAAAGGCTACAGCTTTGCCACTAAGTCCTTCATGATGAAGAAAAACTTTATGCAAGAATATACATTTAAATTCAAAAGCGTTCCTCAGTCAAATGTCTGACTTGAAACGAAATGTTGAGGTAATAAGCCAATGGCTTAGAATTGGTGTTGTTTCAGGGTGTTTTCCCTCCAAATTACTGTTCTGTGGGGTCACGGATTAGATACTGACCAGGTCTTTTCACATTATGTCTTTGGGTCAGTTAGCAGAGGTTACAGACATAACAGGAAGGCCTGCAAGCAGACAGTGCCAAAGATCTTGTGTGAAAAGCTGATTGGTCCTTTAGACACGTGGCAGAATGAGTATAATTGAATTCGCTTCTGCTAACATTTTTTACACGACTGTGTAGATAGCTGAGTTTTGTTTTTTTAGGCTTATGAAATTTTCAGATAGCGATGATTCTGAAGCCATTTCATTTCTTTTCTATATTGTTATTGTAAATTAATATTGAATTGAGGCCTTGCCATTCATTTTAGTATTACTTGCTTGAAAGAGCAATCAAAGCAATGTATTTTTTATTTTGCATTTTCTTGAAATCATAATTGATTGTACCATATTCTCATGTGTAATGATGCAAATATTAAACCTCTATGAGTTTAACTTTTATATGTTTGAACTACTGGTGAAACTGTGGACCACAGATGCAATTGATATAGAATGACAAGCTTGGTGTTGACTTGCCAGAAATTCAAAAAAAAAATCTACTATTGTAAAAATATGTATTTTAATAATAATGATACTATTTGTATTCTGTGATGGGTAAAGGGGGGTTACATTCCTTTCTTCAGAAATTAAATTTTAGCCAAAAGTGTAAATGGAACACAAATTACGAAGGTAGGCGATTTTTATTAACCAACAGGGGGCGTTCGGGAGCAATGTAACGAAGAATACAAGCATTACCTTTTTTTAAAAGGGAGAATTATAATAAGCAGTAGTCAAACCCTATATAAACTAAAATTACTTCCAAGATCGCAGGCTACCTTACTCAAATGAGCAATTGTAAGATGAACGTACCTCAACAATATCAACCATAACACATTCTAGCAAACAGATTAGTTGCCGAGGCTCATGGGAGTCCGAAAATGGACCGATTACAGGCCAGATCCTTACAAATAGTGTTTGCTACAATTTTTAAATGAAGATTTTAATTCTGGGGTATACATTTGGCACATGCATAATGTCATGGCAGCGTTTTATGACAAAAGTTTGTGCGAATTAATTACCCCTCTTGCCCTATTTCACGTTAATTCTAATATATATGGCAGTAATTTAGTCACTTAACCCACTCCGTTATATTTAACCCCAGTCATGCTTCCAAAACAGTTTAATTTAATCTAATTTCATTAGCTTAATAATTTATCTTTAAAGAAAATATTTGTTGTAAAAATAGAGTACAGTATCGCCTAACGGATATTTGTCACACTGGCACATCTACAGTACAGTATACTAAAATTACCCCTACTAATTCATAGAACACGGCATTGGCTGTCGTTTTCTTTTGCATCCACAGTAAGGTAAAATTAGTAAACGAATGGGACTGTAAACTTATTGACATTAGTCATATATGTAACCAAGGTACAATTCAATAAAACACGTAAAGGAAACATGTACGTGTAATTTTCGCGGATCTGTGAATGCGCGAATCACGAAGCGTAATTGCATGAGGGCTGACTAGATGTTTCGGAGGCCCAATCCCAAACTACACCCTCGACACTCCGCCTTCATTTCGAGTCACACTCCCGCTGAGTCACCCTCACAACACGCCCTATGCACTTAAACTGAAGGAAATTGTCACAAGAAAGATTTGAGACAGACCTGCCCTCGCAGCGCCTTTTTACAGTCTTCTTTACCGGAAAGAGGAAATGCATTACATAGTGATTTGACCAAATGGATCCATCAAAAAGCTGTATTGTATTTTCTTTAATGACATATCAGTTATTTTAAAAAAGCACAAATTTTATCTAATGCGAGAAGACGACGACTACTTCGTCTTATTGCACTGAGCAATTTTAAGTATGTACACGTGCCATATTGACGATTGTACAATTTCTACCACAGCTAACTTAATTTACACGCATAAAACATTACGCATTACTTCTGTACCAAATACCAGATCAGATCTGTAGGTGAAAAAACAGGCAAATATGAAACATATATTGTTATTGCCGGTGTGATGTTGATCGAGTTTGCGTACGAACGTTTCTTCGCGTGGTTTCTAGTTTGAAAAGTACACAAAATCTATCTGTACTGACCAGCTACAAATAACTGCTTTCCTAATTTTTTTTTCCTGCAGCGATGAATTATAACATGTAACAGACTTCCTATGTGTATTTTAGACTGTTAGAATCCAATTATTAAATTATCGTGCTGTTCTGTTTCCTGTGCGCTAGGAATTGTGGGATATGGAAGTGGTAGTGGAATCGCGCGAGCCAACATCGTTGCTGACTCGTTTATTGAGGGCATAATCGACCACTCCCCCTTAGCCCTTGCTGCTTTGAGACACACTTCAATATGGCGACGGGTCTCGGCCCCCTCGGGAACGCGCAAAGCCGCAAATGAAGGCGGAGTGTGTAGGTACCGGTTTGGGATTGGGCCGGACAATGTCTAAAGAGATTTCCCATAAGTCACTGCGGTGTGGGTGGTATAAAAAAGATAGCCGCCTCTTCCTCTTCCTATTCACTCGTGGCTGTCATGTGGTGAGTGTCTTGGATATGCGTGCATGGCATAATGGAAGATTATTCAATGCGTGTTATTGGTTTCTGTAATTTGAAACTGATTTGTAGTAAGTGCATCGCTATTTTCATGGTACGACCACAGGGGTTTATGCTGCGGTATTCGCATGTATACCCGAGGATAGCGGACACGTGCTTCCCAGTCGGCCTAGTACCACGGAGCGGGTTTTCCCGTCTGTTGAAGCTCCGTCTGATCAGAACCGTGCGGTGTTTTTCGCACTGTGTAGTTTGGTCGCAGTTTTAGCTTCTTCAACGACTGATTTTGAGTTTCCTAACTCGAATTCCTTAGATATATGAAGTACTGTAATTTTAGTCCGCATAATCGCACTAAATTACTACGACTGTAATTTGAATCTACGCAGTTTTTGCTTTTTATGGTAGCTAGAAATATATATTTTTATTTTTATTACTTACTTTTCGCTCGTTCTATCACTTGTACAAATTGCACCAGAAAACGGCATCAGTTTGATTGAGGCAGTATGTGGCTCAGCGGGTTAGGCCTCTGTGCCTGTGATCGGAGGGCATTTAAGCCTCCGGAAAGTTATCGAGCGGTGCTGCGTTGACGCCTATCCCTGCGCTCAGATCACAGTAATCGCTCTCCAAGAGGGGATGTGCAGGAAAAACGCATGCCTGTACTGTTACTTGTACAAGTGGCAAAGCATAATGTCTAACTTTTTTTAATTTGATTTCTCTTAGCACTTTACCTCGTGAGTGCTGTAAATTTTGGTTTACTTTAGATGTGCCTGTCGCCGTGGTCGCCATATAATCCGTTAGTGATGGGATGCTTACTTTATTAGCCTTAATCTGAAATGCATTAAATGTATTGTATTAAATGTGATTTTGCTTTGCAGGTGTTTGGTCAAAATGTGTTCGTTCAAGTGGAACTGCGTTTCGCTGGGAGCTTTGAAAAACTGTGAATGGGACTTCCCTTTTGGCTAGAGGTGAGTTGGGTGGGCTTGTGTGTGTGTGTGTAAGTAAACTTGTATGTAATGGAGTAACTGGTTATAGCTGCATGTGATGTTTCTATTTTATAGAACATATAGTTCTCCTGTTTTCGATGTAAAAATCTGTGGTTAGCTCACTTACTGTATGCTAAATATGGGAAACCCCGCTGTGCTGCAGTGATGATGACTATTTGCTACTCTTGACCCAAAGGGTGATGAGACTGCAACCACCATTTTGTAATCTGAGGCACAGGCTTTGTAATCTTGGCGCCCTTGATCATCTTTGTGAAATTCTGATAGAATTTTGCATCTCTTAGGTGGACTGCTGTTTACTCCACTTGGTATCAGGTAGGTCTCATTAAAGCATTTTCCAGATTCTTCTAGTCTATATAAGCTTGCTCAGACTACTGGGTGCTTTCAAGAAATAGCTGTCTGTATCTACCGATGTGCTACATGTTTAACAGATGCTGCTGGGGGTAGATGAAAGCGTTGCCTTTTGCACGTGGCCTGGCCTGCTTCCCGGAAGGGTAAGCCATAACCATGAATGGTGTTGTCTGATCTTTGGTTGCATACAATGATGACTCCATAGTTCAGCAGATGACCTGTGATGAACAGACACTGTCTTTCGCTCCTAGCTGATGTATTGCTGTTATGCTGGTTTTACCAGTCATAGCGCCATATTTCTGTACTCATGTGATCATGTTTTCCCCCCCCCAGCATTCTTAGGCCACCAGATACTTTGTCCAGGTAAGCATTCTTATTGCTTGCATAATATACTCTTAATATTCTTGCTATGAGGTTCAAAACTAACCTCCCTGAAAGCAGAGAGCTCAACTTTAGGCTTTATTGGATAGCCAATTTTGGGCCCCACTGGTAAACATTTTTATCCACTTTAATGCACAAATTACATAACATTTGAAGTGATGACTTTTTTTCCTTGAATCAGGTCTCTGATCTTGTTGAGGATATCAAGCAGTCTGATCAAATATCATTTTGCTTAAAATGAGATTTACTCTTGTGGACAGGAGTGCAATTTAAGTTGTGTCTTGTTGCAGGAGCCTTCGGAACATCTGAGTGCTTAGATGGTAAGATTTTCAGCTTTGTTTCGCTAAAACCTTCAAAAGGGGCTGGATTTGCTTTAAATGGCAGCGAGAATGAGCCCTTTCTGACCTATGTGATGTGACAACTTTTGCTGACTTTACCCATGGAGTCTTTTTTATATTAGCTCTAGCTGAACTGGTCAGGATTGAAGTGGTGCTTCATGTGATGCTGCTCTTTGGGTGGTAAATCTGACTTATTCCAGCAGGCTTGGCTTCTGTTCGCTACCATGACGTGCTGCACTGGAAATGCAGGTGAGAACACGATGCTGCGGGCTGATGCTCCTGCTCATAGGTTCCTGATGATGCCCTTTCTCAAATGTCTGACCTGAAACACAATGTCGACATGCATCCGACTGAGGGGAGCTTTAAGGGCTTTGATTCTGTCCTTGGCTTGCTTTAGTCTCTGATCTGTGCTTCTTCCTAGGTGGGAACCTCGGAGCTGTGCCTTCCATGAGGTACGGTAACCATGGCTGCAGTTGTCCCAGCCTTTCATTGATAGCCTGTGATGAATCTATTCTGCCAGATGAGAACCCTGATTATACTCCTTTACCGTTCCATTACTATTCTGAGGTTACATGTGCTTTATCAGACTGCCATCTGTCTGGTTTTTCTCTTCTGAATCTTGACTGCTTCTTCCCAGATCGGGCTGTCACTGGAGGAAATGGTCTTCATGAGAAGATGGCTGAATAAAAAGGCGTGTGAATGGAAATGGATCTGCCTGTCTTTAGCCTGTACTTAAGTATTGTACACAAATTTGTGGCCCCCACCTACCCACCCAACACAACCACAAATGCAGTACTTGATTAATGCCAAAATGATGTGGCCACTTTTTTCGTTTTGATGTTCTGTCTGATATGAAACAAATAAAATGGTTGACACTATACTACCATCTGTTTTGTAAAGTCTCTATATCAAATCTGTATTCTCAATAATGCTTACAATCTTTAACCATGATAGGCAAGATGGGGTGGGGTACGGACAGTGCCTATGATGGGAGTGTAAATTAAGCGCAAGGACGTCACATCCTTGTACTAGTAGCTTTTTTGGACCACTGTGGTGAATGACCCACTTCTAAACTTTACAAGGGTACTGCTTTTTAGAGCCTGTACACTGCATGCATGGTATGGGCCAGAAACTGCTCTGAGAAATCGTGGGGGGGGGTTGAGGTACAGACTAACTTTTGGAAGGTTTTGTGATCATTTGGGGTTAAACGCTTGTATACCTTCATTTCCTAATCAGTAGTTCAAGTTTATCTAGTTGGCCAACCCCTTATGTGGCCTCGGTCCAGCGGTCAGTCGGGACGTTGCGGGAATGTCACTGGGTTTGGGTGCGCTTAGGAGGGGCAACTTCCCGTATCACGAGAAAAGTCTGTCGCTTTTCTGCTAGCAGTGCTGGAATACATACAAGATGTTACAGCGAAAGCTGGTGATACCCGTCGCCGGGGCGGTAGGATGTGACGTTCATGCAGCGGAAGCCTTTCCCGTGCCAGTCCTTTCATAAGGGGACCGGAGCGTCTACTGGGCCGATCGTTTGAATGGAACCGATTTATATGCTTTTCCTTTCTCCTGTATTTTTTCTATCCCAATGATGATTTTTCGATTCTTGCCCCTATTCTGGGCATTTTCTGTGAAAGCGGATTTTTTCCAGTTTGAAACAATTTCAAACGTATCGACGTATTATTTTAATTATATTTACTGTAATATCTGGGAAGGCGATTGTCAGCCGCACCAGGAGGATGCTACACAGAAAGGTAGGCACATAAAATATCCTTAATTCGTCTTTCTTCATAGGAGGTGGCTTCGCTTTTTGTCGGTGTGTAATTTATAAAAATACCTACGATTGACATAGAGCTTTGAAGTGTCTCTTTGAGCGCAATGCGATAATTAAAATCAACGTACGGCGAATGATTGGTGCAAAACCTTGTCCAGAAACCCGTAATTTTACCATTTTCTCCCAGGATTTTATATGTGAAGGACATTGACAGATATTTGACATGAGATGTTTAACACGATATATTCTATGCACCCAGTGAAAGACGATGTGTGTATTGTATGTTCGTACTGTATCTGTTAGAGGCTGTCGCTGTAAGTTTTTCTATTTTAAAATGTTTATTTTTTTAATTTCGCTTGTTATTTTTTACGCATGGTAGTTTATCTAGTATTATGGGTTTGCACTTATCATCCTCGATTCCCTTTTGGAACGATGTTAGGATTTTTTTTTCTTTCAACGTTTGTGCCACCGAAAGTGTCTTATGTGGCCGTGTTGCTGCTCTGAGACACCTGTACCCGGTGGATTATGGCACCTTTAAAGATGATTGTCCCCCCCAGTTCCCTCCAGGGACTTGCTGTCGACGCTCCCGCAGGACTGCATGCGGTCTCTGGTTGAATGGTACTGCGCTCTAGGACAGTGCTGTGACACAGGCGATTGTCGTATTATAAATAATATCACAGGTACGGCCTTGGCATGTTATATCCACCTCAACGGCCCTTTTAGCGTATGTTTGCACACTATAATTTGTTTTCTACAGAGTAGAAACACATCATTTGTTTATATATGAATATGCAAGAACGTAGATTTGGATATGGCCGCCAGGGACATGTTCTTACCGATTTCGTAGGAATAGCGTAAGTGTTTAGGGGGTCGCGGAGGTTCGGGGCTGGTTCGGTCCTTACAAATGTTGAATCTTAACCTATGCCCTTCTGAATATGATAAGAATAATATAAGGAACACTGAACAGTAAGATCACACTAGCTAATATTTTGAGGTGTATATCAGTCTCATTGTCAGTATAGTAGATGGATAAAATTTGTTATTCTTTGTGTCTGCGTGCAGGACTGGCCAGGGACCTGGAGCTGAGGCTGCATGGGCAGCACCTCGCTCAGTCTGTAGTTCTGAAGGCGATAGAGGGCTTTCTGAAAAGCCCTGATCCAAACAAGCCTTTGACCCTGTCCTTCCATGGCTGGTCAGGGACTGGAAAAAACTTTGTTGCCCGACTAATTGCGGAGAACTTGTACCGTGATGGGCTGAAGAGTGAATGTGTGACTTTGTTCATCGCTCCGTTCCACTTCCCACATGCCAGGCTGGTGGATGTCTACAAGGTGGGGACACCTTCATTTCTTCAGGACCTTCTGATTTCCATTTTGGTTTTCCCACTCACAGGGACGGCTTGTTACGCTGTCTGAAAGAATGTCCTAAATATTACATAATAACCTAAATTATAATTGGCAGATGGACAGAGTCAAATGTTCAGATCAAAGAAGACATCTGATACTGTCACATGTTATGTAATCTTGTCATTGCAAAATGGCACAAACCTTTATTTACTGGGTTGCACAACATGAAAAGTTGAATCAGCAAAATGTAAATAATCTCTGTAGTAAAACAAATAAGATAAAACTATTGAAATAAGATTTGGATTATAAATTAAATGTTATGTTGTTTTTTCAGTTCTGCATGAAAGTATTGTGAATAAAATGAATGTGAATCCATCATTCAGTCATTTATTGCGGTGGTATGTGCAGGGCTGGACCTAGGCATAAGCAAACTAGGTAGCTGCCTAGGGCCCGATCGGCAGAAGCCCCCCACCCCCCAATCTCCAAAATATACCCCTTCGCCCCTGGTGGGCAACAGAGCCCCCCCGCCCCTCCCCCTGACTGCTGAAACATACCAAGGAGAACCATCCCACCCCAAAAAAATAATTTCTGGCTGGAATGGAAGGTTGCTGGTTCATATTCTGTGGGTAGCTGACTAACCATATCACTGTGGAACCCTTGAGCAGGACCATCAGCAAGACCCTTTACCCCAAAATCTGTTGCAGGAGTGCTGGATGAATGGCTGACTCTGTGCTATACCCCCAAGCTTCATTCTCACTTGTATATGTGTGGTTCCCATAGGAGAGACACATGAAAACCAAAGAATGTACCCATGCCTGTGCAATTGTGAATAAAAAGTATTATAATAGCCAATTGGAAAACGTGAATCAATGTGGTTTGTACACAGAGCCAGCTGAAGGAGGCAATCCGGGACTCTGTGGTTCGCTGCCACCAGGCTCTCTTCATTTTTGATGAGGCAGAGAAGCTGCATCCCGGCCTTATTGATGCCATCAAGCCCTTCGTGGACCATTATGACAACGTGGACGGGGTCAGCTATCGGAAGACCCTCTTCCTCTTCCTCAGGTTGGTCGGACACAATGAGGCAGGTGCAGGTTATAGGTCATGAGATAAGCACCCCAGAAGTGTACGGTTTTTTTAATGCTGTTTTTGAGCCATAAAAAGCCATGTGGGGGGAGGGGTCCTTTTTATACTTAATTGAGAATAAATTTTACCCACTTTCAAATGAAAATCTGTGTTGTTACAGGGTGTAGGAGTTATGAGACTCTGAATCACTGAAACTACACGCTAATCTCACTGTCTTTTAATCTGCTTATTTAACTTAAAAAATACCCTAAAGTGTAGCCTAAAGTGTGTAAATTATTTTGGGGGTGATTTCAGAGAGTTTCTCCTTTGTCTTGTAAGATGTAGTCCAGGAACACACTGGTCAAGTTTGCATCCCTCTGAATAACACCACAATTACACATTCTTATGTATTTCATTGTAGCTAATGGACTTGTGACTCCAAGCCCTTCACTTTTTTCTTTCATAACCAAATCTGGAAATAAGTCCAGAAAAAGTTACATTTGACCTTAACATGAAAAGTGCTATTTCAAGCTATAACTGTGCCTTGTAGCTGTAATAGTAAAAAAAAAAAGTTACAGCTTATAAGAAAACACTCTGAATTATCTTTTTTTTGTACCTGCAGTGTATAAAAGGCACTGTATTTCAAAAGAGAGATTTTTTTCTTAAGCGAACAAAAAGAGTTCTGAGCTGTGGAAGGTATGTGTAATGCACACGCCAGATTTAATCAAAGTCAAAAATGGTGATGCAAAGGCCATTTGTTGAATTAAAACGGAATATATTTCCGTATTTCACAGAACTCTTGGGACTGCTTAAATCACAGTGTGATTATTCAGATAAAAGATTCATTGTGTGATCAGTATGTGACAACTGGTTGCATGATCCATGATCTTTTGGTGGCTGCAGGTTGAATTTATTGCCTATATGATACTAACAAAATAAACCCATAGATTATTGTGGGAATTAGAGGTATATGAGAGGTTTAATCGAATAAGATTAGTATGTATCACTGAAGATTTAATCGGGCACAGAGTGTCTAAGTAAAAAAGAAAACAATCAAAGCTGCATTCATTTGCTGTGTGCTTTTCCTGGCAAATGTGATTCAGAAAAGTGACTCAGTGAATTTTGTGTGGCGTTTCTATAGTAACATCGGAGGAGCCGTTATCAGCGAGGTGGCTCTGGACTTCTGGCACTCGGGGCAGAACCGGGAGGACATCGGGATGGAGGACCTGGAGCATCAGCTGCGGTCTGAAGCCCTGGAGTCACAAGGTACCCCAGAGTACCTTCATCCCGCCTTGTGCCCGTACCTTCCGGGATGGGCTCCGGACCCCCCGCAACCCATAAGGATAAGCGGTTTGGAAAATGTATGGATGGATGGATTTACACATTCATGAGCTTCTGTAGCTTACTGTGTAGCTCTGGATATGTACCATTTTAAGGGTCAGATAGCCTTTTCCCTAATTCCTGTGATTTAATGTTTCTTCTCATTGGTCTAAATCACTGAATGTTTCGGTCCCAAGATTTGACCACAAATACCTTTAAATGAGCCAGTTTCACATGTCTATGAATCCCAAACTCTCTGCTAAATGTCAGATCCTGTCAATGGTATCCACATTCATTTCACACTGGGGTACATCTTTCACCCATAAGCAATGTTTATTTCCTTCATGCTAAAATTTCCCCTGTGGTTCTCAGGAGGCTTCGCTCAAAGCCAGCTGATGTCAGGCCACTTGATAGATTTCTTCGTGCCCTTCCTGCCGCTTGAGTACCGTCACGTCAAACTCTGTGCTCGCGATGCCTACATGGCACGCGGGCTGCGACCCAGCGAGGAGACCCTAGATGATGTGGCAAGGGCTATGCTGTACTTACCCAAGGAGGAAAAGCTTTTCTCAGCACAGGGGTGCAAATCCATACCCCAGAGGATCAACTTTTTTCTCCCCTGAAAGGGACAGATCTATACCAACAACTCTGTAATCCCCAGAAAGAAATTGGTGAAAAATGGAGAAAAGGAACAAAGATGTCTGTTTATTTCTCCTGAAGGATTCCATCTCTCAACTCTGCTAACTGGGGAGTCTAGTTTGTCTCTGAGGAGACATTCAATCATGTTGTACGTTAAGGGAGTTATGTTCACCTTTGTTACTTTTACGGTTATTGCCCAAGCATTGTCATATGTGTTAGTCTACCTACAAGCACTATATGTATGTTAGTCTACCTCAGGTTAAAGCCATTATCACCAGAGTGATTGGGACAGAGTCTTTCTGAGGTCATTGAGATATATATATATATATATATATATATATATAAACACACACATACAGAGATGACCGTTAACTTATCCAGCAGTTTCTCATGAATCAAAGAATGACATCAAGTGAACTTCAATAGGAATGAGAAACATTAAGTGCAGGTGTGAGGTGCACTGCTAGGATAGTTTGTATCAGGCTCCTAGAAGCAGGACTGAGGTCCCATAAAGCAAAGAAGAAGCCCTTCATTAATGAGAAACAGAGAAGAACCAAACTGCAGTTTGCAGAAAAATATATATTATTCACAGATGCGCACCCATAAATTGAGAAATGAGCGAAACAAAAAATTGTGCTGTGGTCTCTTAATTTTTTCTGCCGCTGTATACACAAACACACACACACTATGTAATGTTTGTACTTGAGAGGTTTAGCTGCAGAGATAATGTTTTCAGGTGATTATCAGCATCATCCTCTGAGCAAGGGGAAATTTATGTCACCAGTGATTTGAATGACATTATCTGTGACTAGGTAAAAGCCACAAATTTGAGTGCAATTTGAATACGTCAGAAAAGTTCTTAAAGTGAAAAACATACCTCAAATTTAATCTCAATAACTACTGAAGGAAGGAAGGTTGAAAGGAGTAGAGGTGAGGAAATTTGCCTGTTTAAATTCATTTGAAATTGCATCCTGAGGATGTCGATTTCAAGAGACATCGATTTTCAATAGCAGGATCATGAATATGAATTGTTTCTTTCTCAATGTGTTTGTTACTGATGTTTGATTTTCTTAATTTTCCAAAAAGGAAGTGTAATGTGCTATTATGTTGAGCAGATTACTACTAATCATTAATGCTATTTATTTTTTAACTACGCCCCTCTAAGAAGGTGATGGCAAACCAGTCTGAACATATTCAGTGCTCACCACAACCCTCCACGGAGTAAACGTTCAAATGGATGATGTTCAGTGTTTACATTTTTAAAGTATTTTAATGCATAACTCAACTGTCTTGCAAGGTAAAAAAGAAGTTTAAACAACTGACTGTGGTTTGTTTTCCTGTATTTAAAAAACTTGAGTAAAGTTTTACATCATTTTATTCTATAAATTGTATTTTGATGGTATTCTCATTTTTAAAACAATTTTACAAACGAAATCGCTTTTCGGTTTACAAACTCAATGAAAATATTACAAAAATGTATGGATGGAGACATGAAGATTAATCTGAAATATCGAAACGTTTCTTACTTTAGATACAACCGGAAATGTGCAGAACAATTTTATGTTATTAGTTATAAAAACTAAATATAATTGTGATTTTGTCGCATTTGAAAATGTCTATATTATTCTGTTGAAGTTCATGCTCTTTATCAGCAACCATTCACCACGAAGAATTAACAAAATGTTAGTCCTACTTTAATTATGTTTAAAAATTGTGTATAATACTGTTCCATCTATAACACTTTGGATAATTATGTTGGTTTTTGGCCTCATTCGGAAGTTTTTGTGAAGGTGGCTATAGTCGTCAAAGCCTCTGACCGAGATAACACCGTTTAACCACATAATGGATTAATTAACAGTCTTACCACAACATCAGACGCGTCAAGAGGCTTTAAACGAAGGCATTGAATTAAAAAAACGTGCTGCTATATGTGTTTGGTGGTTTGCGTCTTCTGTTTTGTGCAGTCATAAGAATGACTGTAACCAAATAACCTGAGCTTCAGAGACGGACAATAATCCCAGTTTAACTATATGTTGAAGTACTATGTATTCTTTGAGTATGACAGAGATATACTGTGAGTAAAGTGGAAATATGAATACAGATGTTAATATGCACAATGCACATATGATATCAATTATTCTGCTTGACTAAGAGATGTTTAATTTGTCACAAATAAATAAGCATCAGTTTTCGGACAGGTAATTTATGTGATTTCTAATGAACATCGTTTGTGATAGCTAACCAATTTCACCTTGAGAGTGTACTGACGACTTTCTGCAGCTGTTTACCTGTTTTACAATTATTCGTTTACAGTCATTTGTTTCTACTGTACAATTACACTGTAAATCACACATCCTAGACGCAGCAATGGAAACTCCGCCGTAGCTCCTTGACAGCGGGGATGAGGGAAGCAGGGTTGCGTGTGTAAACGCGTGGTTGGACGTCATTGGCTGACGGCCTCGGAGAGACCGCCTCCCGCCGAGCGCCTACCAATGACAACCAGACATCTGTTGTGTGGCGAAAGGAGACCCCTGTGTGCGGTAGCGCTGGTGCAGGGAATGACCCGCAAGGTTCGCGGAAGGCCGCTTAGGGAAGGGGACAATAAACATTAAGTGTGTTTGCTGTTGACATATTTATTCTAGTGTATATAATCTATTTATTTCTTAGATTAGTGAAGCAGTCTCTAACGTAAGGTAGGGAAGCATGACATCTGTCACTTTACTGCTGGCCTTGACGGTCGCTCTGGTGTGTGCAGACCCCACTGTGTATTTTCGGGAGCAGTTTGAAGATGGAGGTAAGTTGTGCTTATTACTCTTTTGTGCTGTGCAGTGGACGGTGGCTTCTCCGATGTAAAAAAGCACATGGACGATTGAACGGTAACGCAGCTGCTTTGCAATTCCTGCAGTCCAGTGTGCTGATGGGGGAGGGGTGACTTGATTTCCCAATTTAGCGGTATATATAAAATCTGGATTTTTTTTTTTTTTTTACCAGGATTCTATACATAATCAAGGTTATAACTAGAATTGTAAATTACTTAATGTATGTAGTAATAATATGTGATGTTACTGATCGGAGGCTTTCGGCTTACAAATTAAACCATAAGGACTGTCTCGGCCCGGTGAGGTCGGGTGCTGATCGGTATACAGTCCTTGATGCTTTTACCACCCCCTCCGGTTTAAATGGCTTCATGGCATCTGGCTGCAGATTGACGCGCTGCAAGACGCTTTGGTCCCGACTGGGGTGGATCATGCTTCGGGGTTAATGGTGTTATGATAAAGCGCCGTGTCTAATTACAGACGCATGGAAAAGCCGATGGGTTGAATCCAAACACAAGTCCGACTACGGCAAGTTCATCCTGAGCGCTGGCAAGTTTTACGGGGACACGGAGAAAGATAAAGGTGAGAATAAGGATTATTTATCTTGTTTGCCTCTTCAAAATATTACAAAATCCTAAATTAAATGTTTACCGCTCATATGCAGGTTTACATATTCTCCACTACAAATGGCCTTTTGCTGATAAGTCCATTTCTTTTTGCCTCTATAGTGTCATTACCCCCCACCCTAATAAAAGACAATTTTATTGTTGTGCTAAGGTAATTTTTCTAGTTTTCATTACGATCAGACAGGTCAGAAGTGAGCATCTTCTTAATGGTGGTGTTGTGTGTAAGATTAACATGATTTTTTTTTTTTTTTTTGTGAACATCCAGGTCTTCAGACCAGCCAGGATGCTCGATTCTACTCTCTATCATCCCGCTTTGAGGAATTCAGCAACAAAGGCCAGCCTCTGGTCTTGCAGTTTACAGTGAAGCATGAGCAGAGCATCGACTGCGGGGGGGGCTATATTAAGCTCTTCCCGTCAGATCTCAACCAGGAGGACATGCATGGGGACTCCAACTACAACATCATGTTTGGTGAGACACCCAGCTACTGCTTCAGTATTGGGATTTTAGGTCTTTGTGACCAGCGGGTTTTAAATTCTGTGCCCTGTTCTTTTAGGCCCTGACATTTGTGGCCCGGGAACCAAAAAGGTTCATGTAATATTTAACTACAAGGGGAAGAATCACTTGATCAACAAAGACATAAGATGTAAGGTATGTCATAAAACAAATTTCTGCAGCCCTTTTGAAATGGTAAAGAAGTAATCTTAAGGAGAAACAGGAGAGTGATCATAATACAGTAAATTTGTGTGTATCGTTGTAAGTAAATGTATCAGATTTAAAAACACTTCAGTTTCTCTTTAATATTTTGGACTGAGTGGTAGATATCTAACATTTGACTCTTGCTTCTCCAGGATGATGAGTACACTCACTTGTATACACTAATCGTTAACCCTGACAACACCTATGAGGTGAAAATTGACAATAAGAAAGTGGAGTCGGGCAACCTGGAGAACGACTGGGACTTCCTGCCCTCCAAGAAGATCAAGGACCCGGAGGCCAAGAAGCCAGAGGACTGGGATGAGCGGGAGAAAGTGGATGATCCAGATGATAAGAGGCCAGAGGTGGGTTGATTGAGCCAGAAGGCAAATTGATTGTTCTTAAGTCTGAAGTTCTGAATCTGTTAAACTTGCTTTTCAACTGGATTTTAAAAGTCTTCCATCAAATTCATCATTGTATTGCTTTCACACCATGACTTAATTATTCCTTATAAATAGGGAATTTCTTGTTTAAGTCCAGGCAAATGTAATATAAATTCATGTGCCTTTCTTTTTGGAAGGACTGGGAGAAGCCAGAAAACATCCCTGACCCCGATGCCAAGAAGCCCGAGGACTGGGATGATGAGATGGATGGGGAGTGGGAACCTCCGATGGTCACGAATCCCGAGTACAAGGTACGTTCCAGGAAAAGGCAGGCCATAGGTCAGCGGGTATCTTCAGTAATGAGTCAGTCCAGGGCCTTGGAGCAGAACCATGTTACTACTATATTAAATTACCATTCGAGGTCAGGTTTATTATTTAAATAGTCTAGAGTGTCAGTATTTTCAATATATGGGAGAGCTTTTACAGTATTTGTACAGAAAGGCTGATGTGTAAGTTGTAAAGCCATTTGATAGTACAGCACATATCTGTCTTAAATCACCTAATCTTACTACTGTTCTTTCAAAAGTGGTTTGGTAGATGGTGGGACAAGATAACTTACTGTTTTTCAGATATCACACACATTCATCGTTTTCCCCCAATCATCAGGGTGAATGGAAACCTCGTCAGATTGACAACCCCGCCTACAAAGGAAAGTGGGTGCACCCCGAAATCGACAATCCAGAATATACACCAGATCCCGAGATCTACAAGTACGGCAGCTTTGGGGTCGTCGGCCTGGACCTCTGGCAGGTGCGGCATGTTCCTCACAGGACCTCCATGCCCACTGCAGCGTTCAGTCATGCTGGCTTTTTGTTAGCAATTTCCTGATCTTTTTTCACTAGTTGTATTACAGTAAAGGCTGAACAGTATGTTTGCTCCATGTCTGCAAGCATTTCCCCTCTAAAATAACTGTCTGTGATTTGTTACAGGTGAAGTCTGGCACCATTTTTGATAATTTCCTGATTACCAATGATCCAAAACTTGCTGAGGAAGTAGGGGACAAGACCTGGGGCTTAACTAAGGTGAAACTTAAGGCATCTTGTTAGTTGAATTATTCTGTGGTGGTTTGGGTAAATTATTAAGTGGATATTCGTACAGCTAGATATTTTACAGTATTTTACTGTGTGCAGGATCCCGAGAAGAAGATGAAGGAGAACCAGGAGGAGGAGCAAAGGAAGAAACGTGAGGAAGAAGAGAAGAAGCTGAAAGAGGAAAAAAAGGGCAAAGAGGATGAGGAACAGGAAGAGGAGGAAGATGAGGAAGAGGAGGAGGAGGAAGAAGAAGAGGAGGAAGAAGAAGAGGAGGAAGAAACAGATTCTAGTCCCAAGGACGAGCTATAAACACACAGAAGAACCATAGGGACCCCTTCTCTCTCCACCACACCCTGGGGTGATTAAAGATCCACTTTTCTGGGCTTTCCATTAGTGTGGGTTTGCTGGGGTTGGAGTCCTTGCTCATACTGTACTGTAGCCATTTCAAGAAAACTAACGCGAGAGGATTTCGGTTTACATCGCCCTGTTTTAGTGGGGCAAATGCGTCCATTCCACCCAGAAGACACTTTGTGTTGAAATGTATACCTGCCACCCCACCAACCCCACCTCAGTGTTTCTCTGGTTGATTGTGGGTGAGGAAAGTTTTCTGTGATGTTTCATGTAAACATCCCCCCCCCCCAGCCAGTTTTATCTTTAAGGCTGACTAGTCATCCTGTCCATCACATGTTCTGTTGTGGGTCTTTTATCCCTCCCTGAAACTCCTGACATTCCAGTCAACTTAATAAATTATATTTTGAAATGGTACACTGTCAGTAAGGCTAACTCGTTAATTTAGGTTTTTTCTTTCTAACGTGAGCTGAGCCAAAACGTTACCGGGAAGCAGTTCCAGCGCCTCCCATTATGATCGTCTCATTTATACAAACCACTCAGTTAGAGATGGGCCGCAGACCTCTCTGTGGCATACCAGACCCTCACCCCTGCCACAAATTGGTGTTAATGTTCAGATACGACGGCAGAACCCTCATACAAAGTGAGCGCTGGACTTTTCCGTAACGCCTCTTTCATTGATTTTTTTTCCCCCATTGTCAGTTTGCACTGCTGTACGTTTAATCTTGCCCCAACAAGACGTTAGTCCTTTTTAAAAATATATATTTTATACTATATTGGCAGGGAGGAATGTGCTCACTATGTCGTACATGATATGGTACTTTTGTTGCAGTACAAAATAAATGTAAAACCATACCATCTATTGTTATTTGTCCGGTCTTTTTACTAACGGTATATTTTTCTGCACTATCACAGGGGTACATTATGTCTGTGTGAGAAGGAATAAAACTGTCGAAAACCAACATGTCGAATTACGTAAAATTTGTTGCCGTAAAAATATTCGTTTCCTCCTGTAGTCGAAACACATGAGAGTTATATAGAACTTGCATCTTTACATTGCACGTGTGTGTAGCCTATGTGTAACACCCCTTAGGGTACATGGATATATCAGATATTTGGTTGCGGATCTAAGAGTATTGATGAATGTCCCATCATCGTTATACACCAATCATAAACAGCAAATTTTGAACGGTTAGTGTTAAACGGTATAGGCAAACAGTTAAAACAGCGAAAAGGTGTAATATTGAGAGATATTATTTTTAAAATGTTTAAGGGAACTAAATAGATGAACTAATGGTTTTAAAACGGGGAAACTTAAGTTTAATAAGAAAATCAACTACAATTACTATACGTTTATTGTTACATTATAATAAATCCAATTGCTGAATCTAAAATATAGTTCTCGGAAATGACATAAGAACAATATCACATTCTGGTTGTAAGTACATTTAGGTACATTAATATATCATTTAAGAATTTGCTGGTGTACTCATTACATTTTCCCTTCATATTCTTTAATAACTGACATTTTAAAATATTTTTGCATTTTAAGCGTACTTAATTTTATTGCAAGTAATATTATTATTGCAGCGTTATGTGGCTGCGTGCCTCGACTTTCCCTTGTAATTATGGGCATGTCCGATTTGTGCATTTAATACACGATCTGAGTATAAAAATAAAGTCGTTTTTGGCCAAATAAACTGAGCCGTCAGCTCGTGGGTCTTTACGTGGACAGTGTCTAGTGCGCGGTTGCGGACGAACTCGGGCGGACTCGTGTCTGATTCGGACGCGGTCCGCCGCGACTCCAGTCACGGGAAAGTCCAGCGCCGCGTTTCGCAGCCGCCCCTATTTCGCCTAGTGCGACGCGGGGATGGACTAGTGGGAGCAGAAACATTATGGCTGCCAGTCTGTCTCTGACTCAGGTAATCCCCTCTCCGAAGGGCTACGCGTCGTTCTTGGCGCGTCCTGCGGCTGCTCCGAGAGCGGCTGTGGACTGCTCGGTGCCTGGCCGGAGTGGACCGCCGGGTTGTCGTGCGATCGCCGAGAACCCGGCGCTTCTTTCTGGAAGTTTGCGTGATCGGGGGAAGAAAAGTTTCTTCTCGGTCTCTTATGGGACTGCGTAAGGGCGTAGCTGGTTCGTGTCACTTCGGGTGCCTGTGAAACTTTTCTCACTGTTCTCTTCCGTCGTTTTTCGTTTTTATTTCTGTCCTTTGGAAAAGTGTTCAGTCGACGAGCAGTCGGTCGCAAGCTGGGGTGGGTGTCCCCCGCGGTACGGTCCGTGTTGTGCGGGTGGCCGCGGGGCTGTCAAGCCCGTTTGGACGTCGGCAGGGTTAGGCTTAGCTGTTTAGCTGGTTACCCGGCGGGCTAACGGCGGCCAGGCTGTGCGCTTGCCCCCCGTTTATTGCTTAGCCAGGCCGCCACGCCGTTCTTTCCAAGCCCTCCACGGTGGCTCCTCACGGAAACGTGGGCCGGTTATCCGCCAAGGCTGTGACCCGGAGACGCGTGTTTCCGTGGATAGTTAGCTAGTTAGCTAATTAACCCGTCCGCCGGTGTGGGAGCCCCTCAGCTCTAGGCGTAGTGTACATTCGTCCCCGTTGCCGGGTACCAGTGTGTATCCGACTACTTGTTGGACACTGGTCCCCCGCCCAGATGAACTCGGCCAACCGGCAGAGTCGTGCAGGTCTCGGCTGGTGCGGTTCTGTCAAGCCGCCCGGTGCTCCGTACTCTATAGCTCGGCTGTTATGTCGGGTTCATGGGTTGTGTGGCTATATGTGTTCATATGATTATTCAAATCATATGTTGTCTGCATATATGTGGTATTGTATAATTATATTTATAAATGTGTGTAGTTTATGTATCTGCTGATACATGATCATGCAATACATATGTTGTGTATCGTTAGTTTTTATTGATTATATGGTTGTTATTGGTTACATATATTGTGTTGAGTTTGTACGGTTATATAGGCTCTGTATATATGATCATGCAAACTATATGATGTGTCTATATTTATATATATCGTGTTGCATAGTTTATGTGGTTATATATACTGTGCGTATGATTGTGTGTTGGGAATATGTTGAGATATAATCGTACAAATTATAAGGTGTGTAGCCCTGTGCAGTTTTTAAGTAGTTTGTATGGATGTTATAGCTTATACATAGTGTTTATGTGATGTTTACAGTATATATGATACAAACCATATTTTTGTGTATGTTTGTGTGTGTGTGTGTGGTTGTAGATTACGTGGTCGTTATTGATTATACATAGTGTGTTATGTGGTTTTTTTATGGTTATACATATCGACAGTCCGTCATGTCCCCGAGGTCCGGCTGTGTGGGTTGCCGAGTCGGTTCTAGTGTTGCCCCTCGGTATGTGGGTCTTTTTTTGACATATTTAGCAAATACTAACCTCAGAGATGGATTTTACAAAATTCGCTTATGTTTCACTTTGATTTAACCATCACCTGGACAGAGGAAAATGTGCATTTAAGCGTTATACATTGTAGAAACCTCAAGTGAAGTTGATCTCGTTTTTATGCTGCCGGAAAAAGAAGCTTTTGGGGGGAAACGTTGATAAAACGTTTGAACGATGGCTGGAAATTAAAACCGGCACCACTGGTCTCTTACCCTCGGGCTTTCGTGTAGTGTGGTGATATCCAAACAAGCATTTTATTTTGTTGTTTTGTTTTACAGTGTTCGTTTTCCGTCGTAAAAAATGCAATTTTTTATTATAAAAAGTTTCTGTAACTGGAAAATTAAGACAGAACTTAGCGCAGATATTTCCACTGTTAACTGTCTTGCTACTTTGAGGAAATGAAACCATTGCACTCGAAGATGTTTCTGGTTTAATTTTACCATTTCAGATAAAATATCCGTTGTGTGACTTGGATTGGCCTGAGGAATAAAATATTGATTTTGACAGCGCAGGTTATTGTGACAGAAGGATCATTGCTGTATATATTTGCTTTGGACAAATGCTTCAATTCAGTTTTATTTATTGGTTTTGTATTGATTTTCTTAAAGGCCAGATAGGGGCATGCTTCAGTATATTATAATCAAATTGAGAACTGGCTGTCGTTAAATGTGCTTTTGTGCTGATATGCTGGTTGGATAATTCCTTAGCTATATAGAAGCCTCATTCCTTAGCTATAGAAGCCTCATTCCTTAGCTATAGATCTGAAAACCACCCATAGGTGTATCAAACTATTCTGTAGCATTATCTGTCACTGTACAGTGTCAAACATGAACTTTTTTGCCAGCTAACAAACCTATAGATCTCTGTTCACTAGGTCCAGGAGGAATATATAAATCTCGTACCTGCTTCCTCCGAAGCCGAACATGGGCAGGTGCTGGTCTCTTAGTGAATATGCAATGTATCCTGACAATTTATTTACCCTAGCCTCTAGCTTTTTGCTAATTTAATGCGTTTTTTTTTTTTTTTTTTTAAAAGCCAGCCCCCTCCCTGTACTGGATGTGCCGTTAGCCACTGGCTTAATCTCTTGGCAACAGGCGAATGACTGTGATAGGAATAGTGAACAGCCCCGATGGACTAGCAATAACAGTATGTGCTGGAAGCCTCCAAGAGGAGAATGATTTGGAAATGCTCACTGCTGTGCAATTTAGGGGAGACACAAAGAGTCAGTGTTATGGGCTCTCAGCTCTTTTAGTCTTGCAATTGTTTATGAAGGGAAGTGCGTTGGCCAAGGGGAGAGATAGAGGAGAACATGATAAATGATTTATCATTTAAGCTGTGTCACGGAATTTTTCATTTTTACTGGGGAATTTGTTTGGCACACATTTTTTCCTCAGGACTTGAGTATGACAGTTGTGTGCTTTGAATCTTTGGATGGCTGTAGTATTTGCCACTTGGTTCAACGGCAGTTCCTCCTGGGATTTGTGCTGCAAACTTTTGATCAAACATTGCAGGATGTTCAGAAATTGAACCCCCCGTCCCCCACCAGTAACCACAATGATAAGTTTTACAGTCATTAGAGAAGTTTAAAGACTAAGTTATATTTTTATGTCTAAATGCTCTTTGTGATTGGAAAAGCAGGTGCTAAAATGCACTGAACTGATACAACGCTGTGGCGGCTGTAGCTGTTGATAGGGGACACCCAAATAATAATTCTGACACATTTGGATCCCCTTGGGGAAATTCTCTTTTCGTCTACTTCAACTTATTCTCCATGACGTACAGACACAGCCACCTGCAGCGGCACCCATGGAGCTGGGACTGAAGGGCCCACATATATGACCACTCTCCCGAAACTGGACTAGAACCCAGATCAAGGGCACAGCGGCTTAGCCCTCTGAGCCACACACCTCCCCCAAGGAAGGAAAAAAAAAACGGAAAAAAAAGCTACAAAGAATAATACCCTACCCCCTTCTGCTCAGAACATCCACTTCAGACAGCAGTGATAGATGCTTCCTTCATGCTGTTTCAACAAAACTGCCTTCTTTCTCACACTGGGCATGCAGTCAGGTTCGAGAAGGTATTGGTGCGCTATACATGTCCAGCACTTTATTGCAGATGAGCTATTCAGTGCATGTTCTCATTGAGCACGGTATTTACATTATTGACGATCCTTCCTGCACCCAGAGTGGCATTCATCTTTATTTTTACACCCTTGTTTGTTTTGTTTGTCCTGGGGGCAATTTGTCTAGATAGCAATAGCCATGAATCAGTGCTCGTTTCTTACACTGCTTGCTGACTGTAATTATGGCTGTTTACACATTGGACATAACTGAAATCCTGTCATCCTTTAGCAGTGATAGGTCTGTGTAGCATTGGCTAAGAATATGCTTGTTTGCTGGATCACGACGAGTTCATCAAATGCAATCCATTGTGAAAAAATAAAATT